ATGATTGGTCTAGTGTTTAGAAAATGTGTTTTTAATGTTCAGAAATTGAGGAGGTTACAAAACATAGGAAGGACATACATTTTGAGCAAGAAGATAAAGAAGGATATTCATTGTTTATTGAGAAAAACAAAATCTTAAGTGACTAGAAACCACTGAAAGTAGTGAAGTCTGTCTACAGAGGCTTTAAGATAAAGGTTAAAAATATTTTTCAAGATTAGTTAGACCTAATCTGAAGTACATGTACAATGTTAAATATTTGGTCTCCTTATTTTACAGTTATGAGTCTTCTAGTAAAAAGAAATGTATTTGTTAAGAGCAATTTGAACAAACAGAATTGTTTTTGCTACAGTATAGAAGAGATAACTTTACACAGATGTTTATAATGGTATCAGGTACTAAGTTTAAGCTTTTGAAACGTGAACAAACAGAATTGTTTTTGCTACAGTATAGAAGAGATAACTTTACACAGATGTTTATAATGGTATCAGGTACTAAATTTAAGCTTTTGAAATGTGAACAAAAAGTTGTTATTCAGTAGAATTATTTCCTGACTATATTCTCTGTGATTGTTCGGATTTTTTTAAAGTTTTTGTTATTAGAGCGTTTTTTCTTTATGCTTCTTTTCCTGCTTAAGGCTTAGACAGTTTAAGTAGGAGAAGAAGCATAAAGAAAACCCCATCTACCATGACATCTGTAAGAAGATTTTGTAAGTTTTTATTAGGTAGGTACATGGATTCAGAAAGATATAATTTGTCAGATTTTTGTTTTCTTTTGGAATTAGCAGTCTTCTTATGGAATTAATGAATAGTCTGCTGTTGTGTTTTTATTATGAATGAATTCTTCAGTCATTTTTTATGCGAATGATTTCCTTTGTTGTAAATAAAACTTCATGTCTGTGTATGTTAATTTGGACTTTCATGCTCAGGTATCTTAGTATTTGCTTTCCTGTAATTGTATATTTTCTATAATATTTAATGACAACACCCAAAGGTTTTTATTTTTTTAGGTAAACTAGTTAACTTATAAATTATTTAGAAATTTACTTTTTAAAAACAACAAACATCACTCTAATGGTTATTAGGATTTACTGCAGTATGACATTATTTAAATTTTAAGTTAATCAGTTTTTCAGTGTTATCATTATACTCTTTAATTAGTGCTGATCTTAAATAAAGTGATTAAACTTTCTCAACTGTTCATTTTAGTGGTATATAGAAGTTAAATGTAACAAGCTTGTTGAATGTTGGATAATGAGAAGTGTAATATTATTAAGAAAAAAATTATACTTAGGTAATTAAAGTATAGCATATTTTTTAGATTAATGTTGCTCATTGGAAAGGTTAAATAGTGTTGGTAAACATAATGGTAAAAACATCATATGAAAAAAATGGGCACATTTTTACAAGTTTGGACATTTTGATTAAATAGACACTGTTAAGCCTATCAAGTGACACTGTATAGATACAATGCATTAAAACAAAAAAAAGGATGTGATTAATTTCAAGAAAGATTTAAAACTAGTTCAAAATCTTCCATCGATTATTTTGAATCCTCACATTCCCTTATTGTTTAACCAAATAAATTCTACCACACTTTCTAATTTCAATAATCATAGTTTGTTACAATAATAAAAAGCAAATACTATACTATGTCATGCATGTAGCCTACAATTAAATAACATAAAAAAATTATGAACAAAGAGGGACATGTTGATTCACCTAGACTGCCCCATACACTAAATTAACTTATAAAAGAAAACATAATTCAAAGCCAGCCCTTATCATTTAAATATTTATCAAGTATTTCTTCAAATTTACTACAACCATCGCATCTGAAAACAACCAAAGGCCAATCACCCTGTTAGAAATATAAAACTGTCTTAACTGAAAATGACTCTTACCCTGCCAAAATTTATAGTTGTGTTTCCTAGTCCTACCATTTTCACCAAAAGCCTTATCATTCTTTAACCTTGCCAATTTTTTCTTAGCAACCTTAGAATTCATGTGAAAAAACAACAACAGGTTATTGTTGCACACGCACATATTAAAATTTTAAGTTCAAATATGAAATTGTCTATAAAGTAATCAAAGCTACAAGTTATATAAACCAAGATGACTTAAAACCTGGATGATCCTAGGCCTACTAGGAATGAGATAGTGTAACTTGCAAGTCACAAGTTACTAAACTAATGAGTAACCATAAATTCAGCCAAATTTAAAAATAAAACTTGAATTAAGAGCCAGTTTTTATAAGAATCATGCAGATTCCTATTAGAGGGTGATTCATGACCCCTCCAGAATTGTCCCAAATTTTTTTTTATTGATAGATATATGTTAGTAACGGACAAAAATCACATTTTCTATCCTCAATAGGGTCCGCTTTTTTTTTAGCAACTCCTGGAATATCGGGGTCAAAAACAGCCTAAATGGCAAATTAACCAAAATGTGGTTTTCAAATGCTGATATTTCTGTGCGCCCTAAGTGAGCCACATAGATTTTCATTTGTGCAAGTCTATGGGGTATTGACTCTCTAAAAACATGAAAATTTTGGCGGCTGACTTAGGGCGCAGCCCATAGGTGGCGCTGCGAATCACTACATTTTGTAATTATGTACACTTTCCCGGAGGTTGTTTGGCTTGCGCCCTAAGTCAGCCAGGGTCTTTTATGCATATTATGATGGATTAGCACCTCTTACTTTGATTTCAATGAAAATTATGGTGGCTGACTTTGGGTGTGACAATTTGAGCCATATTTTATCAATTTTGACTTAGGGCGCATGGAGAAATCGCTGTGCAAAAAGGTGGTAATTTCACCTTTTGGCTGCAAAAAGCGCCCCCTATACCTGTGCGAAAGTCGAATATAAACAGTTTTTGAGGTTTTAACCAACATTGATTTCATGGACCATGCAAATCTTTGGATACTTTGATTTGATTGGGAAACCTCTTGAATATATCAGCATAAAAACTAAGCCAAGGTTTAGCTTCAAGTGTTCTTGTGAAGAATGTACAACAAAGTTGATGAAAATTAAATAAACGGTTTATGAGATATAAGGTTATTTAAAAGTGCTTCTTTTTTGCCGTCTAGTTCCAATATTGCCACCAGGTGGTAGCCTACAGCCAAAATGGCTTGCCACCCTGCACTCAAACTCACAGAAAATCTTCCTCCAAGTTAGCAAATCCTGTAAGTTGCATGAAAATCGGAGAAAGTTCACAGTTCACCATATTTGGCTTTTTCATGAAATGGCCCAACAAAAACGGTGCAAAAAGGGTTAACACCGAAACCAGCCACAAAACTCTCTTTACCACTGACACTAGAGATACCGAATTTCTGGATTCTGTTGATGGATAATCTCTTGAAGTTGAATACATACATGAAGTTTTAAAAATTAGTCTAGAAAACTACAATGTATAGTTTTGTCAGGTATGGATTCTTGGTGAAAAGACAAAATTGCTTCAAGGTGTCAGTTTTTCCTTTAAAATTAAAAAAAAAAAATCTTTTTAAACATTTTTCAGGGCCCATTGTTGGTTTAACAATCATTTGATGATCCCCCACAAAATAATCAAATCTGCTTCCAAATGCCCTAATTTAACAGCTAAAATCATTAGTTGGTTTTTTCTTGTATAAAATGTTTCTAAAAACAAAGAAAATGACAATCATGCTGCAACAAAATATCCC